CTATTTCATATTTATTCACCTATCTTATTTTGCCTTTTGCAATTCTATTTTCCTATCATTACAACACGATGTATGCTAAGAAACTAACACAATACAGTAAAGAATTTCTCACTTTTACATTGGAAATGTTGAGTACCTTGAAACTTCACCATGGAAATGAAGACAGACAAAAATAGAGTTGTTTGCTTGCTTTAGAATGGTGCTATATGCTTATAATCCCAGATTTTGGGGAGGCTAAGCTAGTTCAAGATCAGCCTGGCTACATGAGATCTTGGGTTTTTTGTTTGTTTAGTTTAGTTTTGTTTTTAAAGTCTAAATACCAGTGCTAGGGAGATGGATTGGAGGCTAACGTGCCATCTTAAAGTGTAGGACTGGACCGTGGATCCCCAGCACTGGGGGGAGTATTAGGTGAACGTGCCGGCCCACTTGTAATCCCAGCTCTTGGAAGGCAGAGACAGGTATTTCCCTGGAGCAAACTGCCTAGCTAGATAAGACATCGTCTGTGTATTCTGGGTTCAAGGGAGTGACCCCGTTCCCATGAATAATGCCGAGTCTGACTGAGCACGTTTAGCAACACTCCTGGTGTCAACCTTGGGCTTTCATGAATGTGTTTGGCCTCACCCATGTGAGCATATACACACATACGGAAAAGAAAAAAAATCTAAAGTAAACAAAGCAACATATCTCTGTTGGTAAAGGTCCTTGCTATTATCCAGTCTGGTGATCTGAATTCAATCCCAGGGATCACATGGTATAAGGAGGGAACCCACTTTCTGAAGTAAGTTGTCATAGACCTCCAAACGTGCTGTAGCATATACATGTCCCTTTCCCAACAATTCACAATACGTATATACAGACTTTTACAAAATGGAAATGTTTGTCTTAAATTACATTTGATTTTTAAAAAAAATACTTTATTTTACCTGCATTGGTGTTTTGCCTGCATGTATATTTGTGTAAGCATGTCAGAATCCCTGGAATTAGAGTTATAGGCAGTTATGAGCTGCCATATGGGTGCTGGGTGGTAAACACAGGTCCTCTGGAAGAACAGCCAGTGCTCTTAACTTCTGAGCCATCTCTTCAGCCCACTATTGATTTTCTCAGTGAAGTGTTGAATAGATATGTTAGCATATTCTTTCCTTTGCTGGCTTATGTTTCATTTATGATTCTGATATTTGGGGGAAGTGTGTATGGGGGAGTATTTTCTTGATTCATCCATCCATGGCTTATCAACTTTCTGCCTCTACTAAATTTCAACTTTTTCCCTTTATGGTTGCATACTAACTTTTTTCCTTATTGGGTTGTTCTTTCAGTAATATACATACTTCCTGTATCTCTGCTTCCCTCTTCCTTTCTATTACTAAAGTCATACTATTTACTGCCTTTTTGACCTTTTCATTTTACATAGTTGCAGTGATCACTAATAATTATAACTAGCTTTTAAAAACTTACGTTAAAGGGCCTTGTGTAATTCAAGTTGGCCTCAAACTCGCTATGTAGCCAAGGATGGCTTTGAACTCATTCTGTATCTCTACCTCCCCAGTGCTGCAATTAGAAACATGGGCCATCATGTCTAGTTGATTCTGAGGTCTCAGGAATTGATACTTCAAAACATGGAATGCCTTTTTTGTAAGAATGTTTATGATTCAGACCCTGGGAAATGAAGTGTGAAAGGAGATGAAGACACAGCCAGATCCAGTTGTTCCTTTGCTTTCTTTCTGTAGCTTCACTGATCCACGGTCAACTACAATCTGAGAACAGTAAGTGTATATTTTCATAAATAACTCACAACTCGCTGGGCAGTGGTGGTGCATGCCTTTAATCCCAGCACTAAGGAGTCAGAGGCAGGTGGGTTTCTGAGTTCGAGGCCAGCCTGGTCTACAGAGTGAGTTCCAGGACAGCCAGGGCTACACAGAGAAACCTTGTCTCGGAAAACAAAACAAAACTCACAACTTTCACATTGTTTGCTACTCTGTCAAGATGAAATTTCACAATGTCTTCTTCTGTCCGCTTTGTACCAAACCCATTCCTTTGTGTAGCCTCTCCTTACTATATATGGTTTTTGGCTACCAAGAGAATCTATAAAGTGTTCTCTTCAAGCAAAATGATTCAAGTACAGAGAGGTGTGTGTGTGTGTGCGTAGGGGAGCCTATAGAAATTTGTGTAACATTGATTATAGTATATAGCTACCATTGTTTTATTGTATTAGTTACAGCCGTCACTCTGCCTAATAACTTTATCATAGGTATCCAAGTAAAGAAAAGACATGGAAGGGACTTGGTACTCTATGTGATTTAAAGAGTCACTAGAGGGTATTACATGGGCCGAGGGTGGGGATTTTGGGCCCTAGGAGCTTACAGTCTGGAGAATGAGAAGGGAAAATGCAAAAACAAGGTCACATGCTCTGTACAAATAGAACATAGCAATCCTTATGTGCTTGTTGAACTGGCACAGGACTTAATTGACAAGTACAAAAGTAAATAGTCTTCTACAACCCAGAAATCATTGTTCAGTATGAGTACTGATACGTACAGGAGAGCTTGTTACTCAAGGAAGCTCAAAGAAGGTGTATTGATAATAAGGCTGGTTCTAAGAATACAAAGTTAAACATATATAAGCAAAATAAATAAGCACCACAGTTATAACATGGGTGTGAAATCTTGACACTATTTCAGAACTCAAAGGTTCCATGATTCCTCCAGGTTCCACTGGAGTAAGGCAGAAGCAGCTGGGCACGGGGCTCACTGTGCTACCAAGAGCTGTTTGGTTTGGTTTATTTTTTAGAAACAGTCATGTGTCTTGAGCACTCAGTCAGAAGTTGTACTGAGTAATACAGCATTAAAGCAGGGATTTGGTTGTTTGCGCAGACATCACAGGTAGTTTTTTATGTTAATGTTGTTGCCACTGAGCACTGATGGACTCTGAGTATCTGTCCTCCCTCCAAAAGGAGGAATAGAAAGCAAGAAGAGTCTTTTTCTTAACTCTTAAGAATTCAGGACAGTAGAAGAAATCTAAGTCTGGCAATGGGGACATTCCTGGGAGGAACCCAAGCTCCCTGCAGACATATTAGGGGTTAAGAGTGGAGGGGGACAGATCACAGGAACACTCTGCATTTCCTGGTTCTGTTCTAAGTTGGTGAAGGCTTTTGAGTCTTCGGGGAACATAATTTAGTTATTCTAGCTAATTAAAAAAATCCTTAAAATTTACTGCTAACACGTGGTCAAAACCAATCATTCCAAACACCAGACACATCCCTGAAATAAAATGTGAAGTACCATACCCATCGCAGACTTCCCGATTCCACTCCCCAAGGCTAACATTTCTTACAGCTTTCCAAATATTTTCTAGCTATAGCTAGGCAGGCATATACTTTTCCTGTTCTTCGTCATAATAAATTGCAGCTCGAAAACATGATTAAAAAGCACATGTTTTGCAATTTATGGACTAGGGCTCAAATCTTCCCCCACCTTGTTTATTGTACAAAAATTACTTCTTTAGGCTTCAATGTTTTGTGAGGTGTAAAAATAGCAATTACTTTGTAAGGTTTGAGGATTAAAATTTGGAGTGTGTGTGAATGACTTAACGCAGTGCCAAGTCGTTACAGTTCAATAAACACTTATTGTCTACGGCAAGTGACCTTTCACAAGAGTTAAAATAAGGGAACGTGTTCCTGTCATATTTTGATAACTTCCGTTAAGCAAACAAATGTTGCTCATTTCTTTCAACTAATTATCTAAATGGAAAAAGTTGCTTTCCCAGAGTTGAAAGCCAAACTACATTTAAACGTAATATTCCTCCAGGTCTCCTCAATCCCAATACTCCATTGAGGATTTGATAATGGATTCCCCAATTAAAAAACAAAACAAAACTTTTGTCTTGCTGCGTGCGGAGAACACTCCACCCGGTCTTTCTAAACACCTTGTAGCCTTTGCTTTGTCAAGCAATCGCAGGGTGGTACCCCGGTAAGTTCGCCTCCCGCGGTCACGCCCCTCCATCCCCTCCAGAGACGTTAGGGACAGCAACTGGAGAGGCGTATCCGCGAAGGAACTGAGGGGACGTGGTGGCCAAGGGGTGCGCCCCGGAACAGCGTCTGGGTGCGGAGGTGCGCACGAGAGGTGCAGGCTGCTGGCTACCGGGCCCTGCCTGAGCGCGTGCAGGAGGGACCTCTGGGGGCGACCCTGGTACCAGGTTTTCCGCGACCTTCTCGCCGCAGCGTCCTCGCCGTCTACGGCGCGGCAGTCCCTTGGCCTCTCTCCACTCCCCGGCCCGGGCCAGTCCCCCTTGCTAGCTTTCTTTTGGGCACTGCCCTTTGCCCTCGCATGGAGTCCTCTGTTGACTCTCCCTTCACTTCCAGTCACCCATAGGTCACGGTCCCTAGACCACAGCCACCCATCTTGTCCAACTCTCGGAGCTCTGAAGTCTCGCCAGCCAGAGAGATGCTGAGGACCCCGCGGGTGGGGTAGCCTCAGTGTTCCCGGGCCCACGTTCGGGGGCGCGGGACGCAAGTTTCCGCCCGGTCCCCTGAGCAGTGACAGCGCTCGCTCGGAGGCGGCCGGGAGGCGGAGGGAGGGCCAGCCCCGTGCCCGAGCCCCCTCCCCTACTCGCGAGCTCGCGCGGTCTGTGTCTCTCTCCGCAAGTGCAGAGCGGCGGAGGAGGAGGGGGAGGAGGAGGAGGAGGAGGGAGCTGGGGGAGGATCTCCATTGAAATAAACAACCAGGCAGCAGTTATTAACACGGGAACATGGCGGCCGCAGCCTGGGCTCCCGCGGCGGCGGCGGAGGTCAGCGCCGACAGCAGCCCGCACCTGACGGCGTGACGGCCACATTGGTAAGCGCGCCTCCCCCGGGGGCTCGCGGGCAGTGGGCGGGGGGCGCAGCGTTCCCACCCGGGCCGCTGCCCTTGCTGCGCGCAGCCCGGCGGAGCCGCGCGCCGGCCCGGCAGGCTGTTGTTGTGTGCGGGCACCGCTGCCCGGGCGTGCGGAGCCCGCGACGCCCATCCTCGAGGCGCGGCCGAGCCGGGGACTCGGCTCCCGGGGGGGTGGGGAGGGCGGGAAGACGCGGAGTCCCCGGGAGAGAAAGGAGGCGCTCGGGCGCCGGGCGAGAGAGCTCGGGAGACGAGCCTCGGAGCGCGAGGCGGGCGGAGGCTGCAGCCCGCGGCGCCGGCCGAGAGGTGAGCACCAGGCCGAGAAGCAGCGGCTGTGCCACGGGCCCCTGCTCCGGCCCCCTCGGGGCTGCGCGGCGCAGTCCGGGCAGGCAGGGGAAGCCAGGGCCGGCGGGTGCAGTCGCGGCCGGTGCTTTCTTCCCGGGAGGCGTGCAGCCACTGCTGCACGGGTGGGAGCCGGGCGAGGGGAGGCAGGACCTGGGAAGTGCCGGGGGTGTGTGAAGGTGACGCGGCCGGCAGGGGCGGCGGCGGGGGGCTCGGGCGTCTGGGGACCTCGGGCTTGGGTGGCTTCGGGGCGGCAGCGCTCGGGCCGCGCAGGCCGGGCCGCGGTGGGGGCGGGGAGCCGGGGTCGGGCGGCGGCGGCGCCGCGCCGGGCTCGCCCCTGACTTAACTTTCTGGGTGCGGGCATGTGTGCCGGAGGCGCGCTGGGGCCGCGGCCGGGGGCGGGAGGCGGGCTGCGGGCCGGGAGGTTCCGGGTTGGCTCGCCAGCGCCCCCTCTTCGGTCCCCCTTCTGCGGCCCCTGCAGGGACAGGCCCTCGGGGGGCCCCCACGGGAAGCGGGAGGGGTCCTGGCGGCCCTCGCGCCCCGGTCACGCCCTGGACCGGGGACCCTCCTCTCCGGGCCCCTGGCGGCTCCGGGAGAGGCGGCCAGGGTCGGTGCCGCGGGCTGGAGTGCCCGCACCCCGCCCCTGGGGGAGTTCTGGAGGCGCCGCGGCCGCGCTCGGGGGTGGCTCGGTCCCTGCTTCCATGGTCCCTCCCTTTCCCCTCCCCCAAGTGGCTTCCGGGGCCTGCGGACTGAGGGGCGGGAATCGGGGACCCGAGCCCCTTCCTCGCGGGGAGTGACGTTGGGCCTCAAGCCTAGAGGGCTTGTCACTGGCAGGGGAAACTTTCCCAAACCGGAGCCCGAGCTGGAGCACCCTCCTCCGCCACCTCGTCTTCTAATCCCACTCCCACTCCACCTCCTCCGACTCCTTCCCCTCCCACCGACCCGAATCTTGCTGTGCCTGACTGATGGGGCAGTGAGCCAATGGAAGGCAGGAACTGACCTGCCGGGTATCGGTAAGCCAATGGTGGGAGCCAGAGGCAGGAAGGGGGCGGGGTTTCTTCCGACCAGTTAGGGCTGAGTTGCACGCGGGGCGGGGGAGTCATGGAGACGCCGCGAGCTTTCCACTCTGGCGCGTCCCTTGGTCACCGGCACCTGGGATTGTGGAATAGTGTCACTCACAGAATCTGTGACCTGGGGAGACCTGCATAGGTGCGCGAAGATAATTGCTTTTCTCTGGTTCCGCGAGAGGCGTTGTCTTAGACATGACAAAGTCTAAAGCCACTTCAGGATATGGCAGTAACCGCGAGGCCCGGTTTTAAAATGGCATGTTGGTAGTGACCATGTTCTAGATCTCAGCACCAGGTGTACGTGCTAGAGATCGTTGAAGGTCTGCGTTAGTTTTACTGGGCCTCTGATGAGCACCTGGACGATGAAATTGAAAGGGCACCCTGAGAGTGAAGGCGCGCTAGGTGATTTTTAGGAGTGCTAAAACATTCTTGTTTGGAATTGGCCTCACTGGGACCTTGTTTAATCAGACCACTAATTCCCCAAGTCTCTTTGAAGATTGTGCGTTTGGTCTGGGTGTGACAATTCTACAAAGTTGCAGTTTATGCTGTGCGTATTTTTTGTCTTGCTCTTGGATAAACAAAATGAAGTTTTGAACCAGAGCACCACTAAAATACCAAGCGTGGGTATTTAAAGCGCAAAACTAGCTAAAGAATATTTGTCGGCAGAAAACAGAAGGAATAAAGTATAGCTTTCCATATTACTCCTATACAAAGGATTGTTAAAACATTTTTTTTTTTTTTTTTTTTTTTTAGTTTCCTTAAACACGGATGAATTGCATAGTGTGTGGCTACTTCTCTGATGTGTAAGAAGAGGTCAAGAGCTGTCTTTGATTGTTTTAACTGTTTAGGTCCAGTGATCTGACTTTCTTGACTCCTGAGTTTTAGGAAAGGGAGGTGGGGGCGGTTCCCAGTGAGGATCCCAGGTTGCTCAGCGGGAATTGCGGTCTGTTAAAAAGACAGCAGCTGCTACAGTGCTTTTTGTGTGTGTGCATGCTCTCCTGTTCTTTGTTGGTGAGGTTAGTCCAACCCAACAGCAGCAACATCCCTTTTCCTATTGGAATCTTTGGGAGTTTGAAGAATGAGAAATGTTAAACTTAGTATCCATTCATTCCTAGAATCTGTCATCCATGAACTTAATTTTGGGATTTTAAAAAATGTCCAATGAGCATGATACTTAGTTTCCACACTGGGTTCTCCAGCTTTTATTACTATTGGGTTATTAAGAAAGGATTCCAGGACAGCCAGGACTACACAGAGAAACCTTGTCTTGGGAAAAAAAAAAAAAAAGAAAGGGTTCAAGAGACTAATGTAAGGAAACAGTAGTGTGTAATATGTGGCTTTAAATCTATAGTGTAGATTCCCAACCAGTGTAATTTTAAACGTTCTTGTAGAAGTAAATTGCTTTTTGCTGTAGCTTTTGAAGTGTTATTCTGGTGATAAATGAGTCAAGTGAAAGATAAGCACTTATTTCGACTGACAGAAGTAGGGAGTATTGTAAATTAATGTTCAAAACCCAGCAACATTCAGACACTCCCACTATTAGTTAATTTGGGAGGCTGCTCTGATGCAGACCCTTTTCTCTTTCCTGAATTCTTAAAAGCAACTCATTATTCCACTTCATTCTTCATAAGGATCCTTCCAAACGTCCTTAGATTCTCGGTGGCAGAGAATAGCAAGGCCCCTAATGCCTGTCTAGGGGAAAACCTTTCAAGCATATGGAGACATCTAGAAAAAGATGTGCATTGTCAGCGGTGATTCCATTGTGTGCTCTCATGCTGGAGCTGAACCTTCTTCCTCCTGGGAATTTCCCTCTTAAAAGAGAGGATTCCTTTGACTTTTAGATGTCAGGGTGCTGAGGTCTAGGTTTCAAGGCAGCTCAACAATCATTCATGTGAATTTAATGCTTTTGAGGACTTAATAGTTTAAAAAAATTTTTTAACCCTTCATTGATTAAATATAATTTAGATGACTTTCAGCATGAGAGACATTTTACTGAAAATATATATGTTAGTAATCTGTCTGACAGATTACTAACAGTATATAAAAGTTAGAAGGTCCTGAGATTGCATAAAGGGTTAATGCATCTTGGTTTTCTCCCTTCCCTCCCAATAGATGTACCTTACTAAAGCTTTCCAGTGTCTCTGGAATCCATGATCTCTGATCACGTTTCTGTTTTACATGGAGAAGTTAAGGATTCAGCGCCTTAGCTGTTTCAGGCCACAGTAGGTTGCTATGTGACCCATACTTTGACAGCTTAAATCTCTAAGAAAAATTGTTTTTGTTGTATTGAATACAAAGGCTATTGTTTGAAGCAGTCCTTATATTGTTGGAAAGAAGAAGAATGAAGAGTGGTCTTTTAAAGTATTTTTTAATAGACAATTTTCTGTTATGCACAGGTGTCTTTGATATCTTGACCATTGTTGTATTGTGGTTGAAATTATATTTAAAAGTGTAACTAATTTTAGCTGACAAAACTAATGCTTAAAACCTATTAGCTTTTTACTATTTTCTGTTTCTAGTTTTGTTTGATGTTACATTATTACATGCTTTACTGATTTTTTTTTTGTTTTTGTTTTTTTTTTTTTGTTTTTTTTTTTTTTAAGAGTCAGGGTTTCTTTGTGTACCCTGGCTGTTCTGGACCTCATTTCTGTAGACCAGATTAGCCTAGAACTCACAGAAATAGGCCTGCCTCTGCCTCCTGAGTGCCGGGTTTAAAGATTTGAGACACCATACCCAGCTGCTTTACTGATTCTTAAAAAGAATTGATTTTTTTTAGTGTATGAATGTTTTTTTCAGCATGTATGTCTGTGTACCACACTGGTGCCTGGTACTCACTGAGACCAGAAGAGGGTATTGAATCCCTTGGAAGTGGAGGTACAGACCGTGGTGCATTGCATGTGGATGCTGGGAGAATACCAGTGGTCTTAACAGCTGAGCCATCTCTCCAGGCCTGGGATATTGGTTTGTTTTTTTAAAGATTTGTTTATTTTATGTACACCAGCTGTCTTCATACACACCAGAGGAGGGCATTGGATCCCATTACAGATGGTTGTGAGCCACCATGTGGTTGCTGGGAATTGAACTGAGGACCTCTGGAAGAGCGGAAGTGCTTTTAACCACTTCAGCCCTGTGATATTGATTTTTACATGAAGAAAAGCCAAGGAATGGAAAACAAAGTTCTTGATTTCTTTCCCCTTTTCTATCACAAGCTCTTTTCCCCCGTGTCTCTTCTAAATGGAAAAGAGGCTCTTAGTGTTTATGTGTTGCTTGCGCTCTCTCTCTCTCTCTCTCTTTCTTTTTTTCCTGCCTTTTGAAGGACTTAGGATTTGTAAAGTAGAGAAGCAAGTAGGGATGCCATGGCATAGTACCCTGTAAAGCCTCTTAAAGTGGGCCATCTGGGAAAGCTGTAAAGTACAGTTCATTGTCACAGGCCCTCAGTTCAGACAGCATAAGGGAAATGCATATTACAGGTTCCAGATGTTCTAGATAGAGGTGACAGACAGTACAACTTTCGTGGGTGTTAGCAGTCTACGTAATTTCCTAGCTGTTGTAAAA